GGATCATATAGTGGTGTAAGATAGTATGGAGGACAGATTGTAAGGAGCAGCAGATGCAATGTTAAGAAAGCATGGACAGAGTGTGTAAGACAGCATGAACAGATGTTATAGAAAGGCAGACAGATGGATTATATGAACAGATACATGATGTGGTGTATATAGATACAGCAGGAGAAGTGTGTAATGGCAGAAGGCAGGGGCAACGTGTGTACACAGGACAACAGGACACACATCTACAGAGAAGGGCAGAGCAAGTGAGTACAGCAAGCAGACAGAGATGTGTAAGGATAATGCAGGGAGAAGTGTAAGAGAAGGCAGGGAGTCAAGTGGTGATAAGACAGGATCACAGTTAGAGATGATGTAAGGAGCAATGTCATATGGAAGAGTATAAAAAAAATATGTCAGGGATGCAAGTGTGTAAGAGAAGGACATGAGAAGATGTGTAAGGTAAGCAGGGTAAGCAGAGTGTGTAAGGATGAAGGCTAGGAGCAGAGTGGTGTAAGGAGCAGGCAGGAAGCAGATGTGTTAAGAGCACAGCAGGGAGCAGAGTGGTGTAAGGAGAAGGGCAGGGAGCAGAGTGGTGTAAGGAGCAAGGGCAGGGAGCAGAGTGGTGTAAGGAGAAGGGCAGGGCAGAGTGGTGTAAGGAGCAGGGCAGGGAGCAGAGTGGTGTAAGGAGCAGGGCAGGGAAGCAAGCAGAGTGGTGTAAGGAGAAGGGCAGGGAGCAGAGTGGTGTAAGGAGAAGGGCAGGGAGCAGAGTGGTGTAAGGAGAAGGGCAGGGAGCAGAGTGGTGTAAGGAGAAGGGCAGGGAGCAGAGTGGTGTAAGGAGAAGGGCAGGGAGCAGAGTGGTGTAAGGAGAAGGGCAGGGAGCAGAGTGGTGTAAGGAGAAGGGCAGGGAGCAGAGTGGTGTAAGGAGCAGGGCAGGGAGCAGAGTGGTGTAAGGAGAAGGGCAGGGAGCAGAGTGGTGTAAGGAAGGCAGGAGCAAGTGGTGTAGAGCAAGAGGAGCAAGTGGTGTAAGGAGAAGGGCAGGGAGCAGAGTGGTGTAAGGAGAAGGGCAGGGAGCAGAGTGGTGTAAGGAGAAGGGCAGGGAGCAGAGTGGTGTAAGGAGCAGGGCAGGGAGCAGAGTGGTGTAAGGAGAAGGGCAGGGAGCAGAGTGGTGTAAGGAGAAGGGCAGGGAGCAGAGTGGTGTAAGGAGAAGGGCAGGGAGCAGAGTGGTGTAAGGAGCAGGGCAGGGAGCAGAGTGGTGTAAGGAGAAGGGCAGGGAGCAGAGTGGTGTAAGGAGAGGCAGGGCAGAGTGTGTAAGGAAGGGCAGGGCAGAGTGGTGTAAGGAGAAGGGCAGGGAGCAGAGTGGTGTAAGGAGAAGGGCAGGGAGCAGAGTGGTGTAAGGAGAAGGGCAGGGAGCAGAGTGGTGTAAGGAGAAGGGCAGGGAGCAGAGTGGTGTAAGGAGAAGGGCAGGGAGCAGAGTGGTGTAAGGAGAGGGCAGGAGCAGGTGTGTAAGGAAGGGCAGACAAGTGGTGTAAGGAGAAGCAGACGAGTGTGTAAGGAGAAGGGCAGGGAGCAGAGTGGTGTAAGGAGCAGGGCAGGGAGCAGAGTGGTGTAAGGAGAAGGGCAGGGAGCAGAGTGGTGTAAGGAGCAGGGCAGGGAGCAGAGTGGTGTAAGGAGAAGGGCAGGGAGCAGAGTGGTGTAAGGAGCAGGGCAGGGAGCAGAGTGGTGTAAGGAGAAGGGCAGGGAGCAGAGTGGTGTAAGGAGAAGGGCAGGGAGCAGAGTGGTGTAAGGAGAAGGGCAGGGAGCAGAGTGGTGTAAGGAGAAGGGCAGGGAGCAGAGTGGTGTAAGGAGAAGGGCAGGGAGCAGAGTTGTGTAAGGAGAAGGGCAGGGAGCAGAGTGGTGTAAGGAGAAGGGCAGGGAGCAGAGTGGTGTAAGGAGAAGGGCAGGGAGCAGAGTGGTGTAAGGAGAAGGGCAGGGAGCAGAGTGGTGTAAGGAGAAGGGCAGGGAGCAGAGTGGTGTAAGGAGAAGGGCAGGGAGCAGAGTGGTGTAAGGAGAAGGGCAGGAGCAGAGTGGTGTAAGGAGAAGGGCAGGGAGAGAGTGGTGTAAGGAGAAGGGCAGGGAGCAAGTGGTGTAAGGAGAAGGGCAGGAGCAGAGTGGTGTAAGGAGAAGGGCAGGGAGCAGAGTGGTGTAAGGAGAAGGGCAGGGAGGCACAGTGGTGTTAGGAGAAGGGCAGGGAGCATGGTGTTAGGAGAAGGGCAGGGAGCAAGTGTGTAAGGAGAAGGCAGGAGCAGAGTGGTGTAAGGAGAAGGCAGGGAGCAGAGTGGTGTAAGGAGAAGGTCAGGGAGCAGAGTGGTGTAAGAGAGGTCAGGAGCAGAGTGATGTAAGGAGAAGGCAGGAGCAGAGTGGTGTAAGGAGAAGAGCAGGGAGCAGAGTGGTGTAAGGAGAAGGTCAGGGAGCAGAGTGGTGTAAGGAGAAGGTCAGGGAGCAGAGTGATGTAAGGAGAAGGTCAGGGAGCAGAGTGATGTAAGGAGAAGGTCAGGGAGCAGAGTGGTGTAAGGAGAAGGGCAGGGAGCAGAGTGGAAGAGTGGGAGGAGCCGGATGGGTAGGCTGGGCAATGTAGTCTAGACTTAAAAGTAACACAAAGTGGCAAGTGTTTGGGAAATCTTACTAACCTCACTTAACTTAACATATATTGTTCCTGTGAGAGACACGCGAGTATATGCTTGAGAAAACCAAGACACATTACAGCTACTTAGCCTATAAAACTCTTATTTAGAACTTCTACCATCACATGTGACGCTCTCCTACATGATCAAATGCTTTTTGCTTCGAAGCACCACCTTCTCTTACCAAATGTTCATGAGGTACGGGTTCACAGCTATGTTTTATCGACTCCTTGACCCATGTCTATACGAGCTTCATATTATGTTGAGGGCCTGTAAAACTGCAAATAGTCAATTATGTTAAAAAACTTGAGTTGATCTTTGAACTTGAGTTGATCGTGAAACAAAATGATATTCAGTTCAAACAAAGGAATTTGTGAGATTATAGGCAACAAGTCGAACCTAATTTATTTATAATTAAGAAAACATTCATTATACTAAATGATTCATTTTGTGAGGTGAGGATTTTCCTCTACGACTAAGTTATTCTAATGCAATAATGTTGTTCATTTTTATCTAAAATATTTATACTCAATAATTTTCTTTCCTAAATCATACAATGGGCAAATTAAAAACAGTTGAACTTAAAAAAAAACTAAGAAGTATTAGAATAATAGATACGTTAAAGATGAGTATTAAAACTTGCTGTTTATGAAACATTTGAGGTCAGTTTCCACAGACCGCCAGGAAGCTCATTATAAACATGGTATCCCAAGATGTACTCTTAACTTGTTTACTTTACTTAACATTATTACCATAAGACTTAAGACCTCTAGTTATATGACGTCCACCAGAGTAATGTTTTAGAATTATTCTCCATACATCTGTATTTTCACCTCAGAAGCAACCTGTGTCTGTTTAAAAATACTTAGGATATAATTTACCAGGTCATTATTTTTAATGCTTATTAAGAATAAGTTGTTACTGATGATGAACTTGCCGTGAATGTCAGTGGCGAATTAGAGCATTACGAGAGACTTAATCTAGAGCTATCAACAATAATATAATTTCTGGGATAATCAGCAATGTAAAGTCACTTGCATGCTTCCTCTACATTGCAAACAAGAATGGCGCTTCTCATATTCCCTCCAGTGTATCTATTAAGTTTGATAACCTTACAGTCAAGTACAATTTCAAATTTAGAAAAAGAATTATCATGGAAATGAGAAAAGCCATTCTGTTTTCTAATCCCGGTGATAGTGTAATTAAGTAACTGATATGTGGAACAGAGCCAAGAGTGTCCCATGATATATGAATGAGTGTAAATGTCTTCATTTTGCACATATAAAAGTAGATGCACCCAAGTCCAGTCAAAATATGACAGTACATGCTTACAGCCTCCAATTTTCCAATGATTTAGGTAATTACTATGGCTATAAATGTATCTCAACAAAATTTAGGTCCTACACTATAAACTGTAATTTTGGAAGGCGAAAAGCTACATATAGAAACGGGATATTTGTATTTACATTTATTCTTAATGCTTTATCCTATTCTATACCGTGACAGCAACTGAGTACACGTACACATTGGATCTTTTGTTTTGCAGATGATAGTACGCCGCGACACTTTAGCGTACTACACTTATCCTAATGTTTCTTAAAGTACTGAAGCTACTCCACACTAATTAGTGAAGCAGTTTTCTTTGATACAGACACCAATATACAAGATGTAGTTACATACAAACACAAGCCTGTACTTGTAAGGCAATAAACAGGTTTTATTCTATTTGAAGGAGTCATGAAGCCAGCATTAACGTGCCTCGATGAAAGTTAACATCAGTGTGGGTTCCAAGATGCAACCTGCTAAGGAAAACGTCACTCTTGCAGGCTCTGAAGCTCACAGCTACTGGCCTCATTGCTACGTTATGAAGACTACACTGAATCACTTGAAGGACTTTTGCTGAAGAAAGAAACTCTCATTTTATAGTGTAAACTAAGTTTTAGAACCAACTGCCAGCTAAATGAATTCAATGTGGTCATCAGTGAAACAGTGATATCAAGCTATACAGAAACAGCAAATACAAATAAAAGCTTAGTACAAAGCATGTCTTTGAGGTTCATCTAATGCAAATTAGCTCTAAAACCATTCTAGACACATAAAACCTGTGATTCTTCAAACAACATTGAGTCCCTCATTCAACAGATTATTTTTTTTATTGGGGGGAGGGAGTCTGTTTTACCACTTGCTCCATGTCTCCATGTTGACCCGAGCATGGAGGGAATCAGTCCGTAGCTTCTGAAGGTAGGTGCATATATATATATATATATATATATATATATATATATTATATATATATATATATATATATATATATATATATATATATATTATATATATATATATATATATTAAATTTTTCAACCTGTTTTTCAATGTTCATAATTAAAATCAAAACCAATATGTATTTTGTGCTATGGGTACAAGCTAAGCTAGAAGTACAAGCTAAGCTATGAGGACAAGCTAAGCTAGAAGTGGCACTTAATTTTTGTATTTAAAAATTAACGAAAGTAAGAAGGAAGAGAAATCATTTGATGAATAATGATCAAGAAAATGTTAAGTAATAAATGTTACTTTGTGTTAAGAAACTGAGGTAATATAATGTCAGGTAACAGTGTAATGATATGAACTGTTTTATGTGAAATATTTCTTTTCCACTTTAGGAAAAGATATAATCAGAAGCAAACTGGCCACTGAATTCAATTTAGTCGTTTTTTTTAAATAAACCAAATGGCATATACTGCTAGAATTTTCTTAGTAAATACCTTGAATTTTCTTTAAGGACAGGTGAACTATTCTACTCTGATCATCGGTGAACTTAAAAGTTTTTCGATAAACTTTTTACGTTAAGGAAAGCAATAAAGGTATTGTGTTCAAGTAAAGAAAAACATTGTAAAGAAAGCTTTACCAAATTAATCTTAATTCTATACATTATCATTCGTAATTTATTTGATAAAGATTAAAATTGATGTTTTTCTTTGGTATATTTATGACAGTGAGTATCATTAATGACCAGAATGTTGGAATGACTCATTAGATAAAGATATGTAAAAATACTTTATAAGAAACCATTATAAGCACCCATCTCTCTTATGTACCTTTTGCTTTAGTAACATAAGTGACTGTAACTCCCGTATTCCATATTGCTACACTATTTAGTAAGTCACTCTTACATTTGCTAAAAAAGTTATGAGATACATTAAAATATAAAGTGTGATTACTTATGAAAACAAAACTATAATTAGATCATATAGCAAACTAGATTCAAAGAGGGCATTTGCGTCAAAATCTATGTAGACTGATTTCAAAGCTAAACCATAATACCCGTTCTTGATTTCTGACAGGTAGAATGAACAACTCTCAGGGACTAGAATTATTTGGGTCATAAGATATGTCTTAGTGTACTCTCTCTGTTCTCTGATTAGTAATTCATCCTCGATCTTGTTAAATATATGAATCCAAAATGGTCACTCTTGCTGCTGTAGCTACTGTTTACAAACTTATAAGGCTTCTTGGTATACATTATTAATTTTTGTTTGCGTGTTTTAGTATTTTAAGCAAATCGGTTTGTCTGCATCATTTTTACCAATTTGCAAAAAATTATAAATGATGTATAGCTTGTCATGTTGTATTGAAGACAGACTCGCCTAAATTACACTTTCATAAGACCCTTCAAATTTAGTTTTTTCTTATACTAAAATAATTAGTGTTATTTCTGACAGTAATTTAAATTTAAAAGATTATTATTATATCTACATTTATCTTTACATGTTTTCGGGGAGGGAAAGGGATCACTTTCTGTAGGCTTATTGGATTTTCTTTTACATGTATTTCCTAGTGATCCATACAGCAAGGCGAGGATGGACCAGGGAACCTATCTCACAGTTGACGGTGCGAGTTTCTCCGTTGATGACGAAGATAGCAGCCTCTGCCGGGGATACCATGTAGTGACCGAAGACTCCTGAAGACACGATGGGACGGTTGGTATTACTCCACTCCGTCAGTCCTGGCAGCATCGCCTTGCCCACACCGGTGATCATCTCTACCTTACCTGAGGGCGAGAGAAAGTTTATGTTTATATGAGGAAACTGGTCAAACCTGAGCGTCTCAGTGTGTTCGTAAATGCATCTTTCATGAGCGAATGTCTCCAAGTAATTCAGGGATTCCATTCTTTGTGGTAAACGGCTGATATGTTAGAAAACACATTGGGTGAACATACCATAATTATATGAGTTAATCTATTAGAAAAACCCATATTAAAATGTGGACACTTTGGATATAAGATCTCTTCAGCCGAATATCCCCCCCCCCAATATGGTGCAGGTGAGTGGCCCTTGTTCCAGGGAACTGGACTTATCTTTGCTTTCCATGACTGTGAACTGGTTATCTCCCCCATCGAATGCTGTATGCAGCTCTTGTGGGTTTAGTTCTTATTCCTGAATAAAATTAAGATTCAGACGAAAAGTTAACAGCAAAGAACCGTAACACAGTTTGAAACTTTTTAGTGCTGGTGCTTTTGCAAAGACAGCTTCGTAATGGTAGTAGGTTGTGTAATTTTAATTTTCAAAATTTATTAAACGAATTAGTTTCCGTTTAATAACTGTAGAGTGCGACTACTGAGTTTTTCACTCAAGGAAAGTTTTGGACTGATTCTGGACTCTGCAGGTGGTTAGTTACGATTTTTTACGAATATTATTGAAGAAATTGTGGAAATTCAAAAAAGTGGTTTTCAAGCAATAATTATGAATATCTCACCAATTAGGTTTCAAACCCTTAATGCCGATAACTTGAGAATGCAACATCTGAGTGGCTTCAAATCTTAAATTGCTGGTGAATTTTTGGATGTTGGTCTCTGCGATAACTAGAGAATTTCTCTTCTGATTAACTAAATATTCAAATCTGGTATATGTATACCGAATTTAACTGAATGTTAAAACTGGTTTTGGGCTTTCTAAATGCCGATTTGCCATTTTACTCAAGCAACTGACATATGAATTTATGTGTGATACCTTGTAAATGGCTCTTCTGATTCGTTTCAAATCTTCATTGTTTATATTTACTTAAACTGGAGAGTTATGCCACCCTCTGTAATACTTCTTTCGCATGTACTGACGTACAGATATAGAGGATATCGTTCTTGGATGCCATAAGCGACTGAAAATCTTCTCTACGGCTACATATATAACTGAAGATGAGGTTTGTAGAAAGCGAAATTTCATAAATCTCATGAACAGATTCGTGTTGTTAAATTTCAAATGCAGAAAGTTTCTTACCAGACTGAAGGTCAAGGAAGAAGATGTCGTCTTTATCAGTGGAGGCGGCGTAGAGGTCGTAGCTGTGAGTGAGGCGAGACGGGAAGAAGGTGACATCACTGACGTTGAGTGTAGTGATCACATCAAAGACATAGTCCAGGCCATGGTCTGTTGAAGGGACAAGTATGTTGATATTATTAGTATTAAGGATAATAATGATAAAGTTAAGGTGGTATATATGTGTTGTGTAATTAGTGTCTAGAGGATGTTGTTGTGCCATCCTGTTATGATCTAGACCTTCACGTCCATAGACGGGGAAGACTGGACTACACAGCATCAAGAAATGGGAAAAATTGCGGAAGGACAATATTCAGTAAATTTATTGTGTATATACCTTTAATGTTTTTTTTTTATATATATAGGCAGTTAATCAGTTATTGTTATTGTAATCTTAAGTTAGGCTTAAGCTTGCCCGAAATGCTCTGCATACCAATGCTTTCTGTGTGCACAACATTTCACTCGACATTGTATCATGCTGGAATAAAGCATTCTTCTTCGTCTTTTTCTTTTTCTTTCTTCTTCTTCTTCTTCTTCTTCTTCTTCTTCTTCTTCTTCTTCTTCTTTTTCCTCTTCTTCTTCTTCTTCTTCTTCTTCTTCTCTTCTTCTTATTATTATTATTATTATTATTATTATTACCTGGAGTTTTCCTGGAGAGAGTTCCGGGGTCAACGCCCCCGCGGAACGGTCTGTGACCAGGCCTCATGGTGGATCAGAGCCTGATCAACCAGGCTGTTACTGCTGGCTGCACACAATCCAACGTACGGGCCACAGCCCGGCTGGTCAGGAACCGACTTTAGGTGCTTGTCCAGTGCCTGCTTGAAGACAGCCAGGGGTATATTGGTAATCCCCCTTATGTATGCTGGGAGGCAGATGAACAGTCTTGGGCCCCTGACACTTACTGTGTTGTCTCTTAACGTGCTAGTGACACCCCTGCTTTTCATTGGGGATATGCTGCATCGTCTGCCGAGTCATTTGCTTTCGTAGTGAGTGATTTTCGTGTGCAAGTTCGGTACTAGTCCATCTAGGATTTTCCAGGTGTACATTATCATGTATCTCTCCCGCCTGCCTTCCAGGGAGTACAGGTTCAGGAACTTCAAGCGCTCCCAGTAATTGAGGTGTTGTATCTCCGTTATGCGCGCCGTGAAGGTTCTCTGTACATTTTCTAGGTCAGCAATTTCATCTGCCTTGAAAGGTGCTGTTAGTGTGCAGCAATATTCCAGCGTAGATAGAACAAGCGGCCTGAAGAGTGTCATCATGGGCTTGACATCCCTAGTTTTGAAGGTTCTCATTATCCATCCTGTCATTTTTCTAGCAATGCAATTGATACAATGTTTTCAAATTCAAATTCAAATTCAAAGTTTATTCTCTATAAGGATTACAATGCTGAGTTTACAGAAATTTGGTTATTGTTTGGTTTAACATGTAGTAAAATTGAGATTACAGAGTGTACCACTAGAACGCTTAGCATGGCTAGGCATTTCGGGCATACTTAGTTTTATTCTTAAATGTAAAATATTACAAATTATGAGGTAAGTTGGTATTATGGCTAAGTGACTAAATACTATTTTGTGAGTTTAGCAATGTGAATGCTTTTGTTTTGGCACAGTATATAGTTTCAGTATTGGAGTATCACAGGATTCATTATATTAAGACTGAGATTAATATTTCTGTTTATGGTCAAATGAGTGAGCGAGTGTAAGTGTGAACCACCAGGTGGTATTCGTGAAGTTAGTTGACGGGGTGTATCAGGGAGATAAAATGTTTTCTAATGGTAGTTTTGAAGGTGATGAATGTGTCTGCAGTTCTAGAGTTCTCAGGTAGGGTATTCCAGATTTTAGGGCCTTTGACATACATTGAATTTTTGTAAAGGTTTAGTCGGACACGGGGAATGTCGTAGAGATGTTTGTTTCTGGTTATGGTCCTTGAAGGTGAGATCCTCCGACATGATCACTCCCAGGTCTTTGACGTTGGTTTTTCGCTCTATTTTATGGCTGGAATTTGTTTTGTACACTGATGAAGTTTTAATTTCTTCATGTTTACCATATCGGAGTAATTGAAATTTCTCATCGTTGAACTTCATATTGTTTTCTGCAGCCCATTGAAAGATTTGGTTGATGTCCGCCTGGAGCCTTGCAGTGTCTGCAATGGAAGACACTGTTATGCAGATTTGGGTGTCATCTGCAAAGGAAGACACGGTGCTGTGGAGGACATCCTTGTCTATGTCAGATATGAGGATGAGAAACAAGATGGGAGCGAGTACTGTGCCTTGCGGAACAGAGCTTTTCACCGTAGCCGCCTCAGACTTTACTCTGTTGACTACTACTCTTTGTGTTCTGTTTGTGAGGAAATTATAGATCCATCTACTAACTTTTCCTGTTATTCCTTTAGCACGAATTTTGTGCCCTATTACGCCATGGTCACACTTGTCGAAGGGTTTTGAAAATTCTGTATATATTACATCTGCATTCTCTTTGTCTTTTAGTGCATCAAGGACCTTTTCGTAGTGATCCAGTAGTTGGGACAGACAGGAGCGACCTGCTCTAAACCCATGTTGCCCTGGGTTGTGCAATTGATGGGTATCTAGATGGGTGACGATCTTGCTTCTTAGGACCCTTTCAAAGATTTTTATGATATGGGATGTTAGCGCTATTGGTCTGTAGTTCTTTGCTACTGCTTTACTGCCCCCTTTGTGGAGTGGAGCTATGTCTGTTGTTTTTAGTAACTGTGGGACGACCCGCTTGTCCATGCTCCCTCTCCATGGGATGTTAAAAGCACGTGATAGGGGCTTCTTGCAGTTCTTGATGAACACGGAGTTCCATGAGTCTGGTCCTGGGGCAGAGTGCATGGGCATGTCATTTATTGCCTGTTCGAAGTCATTTGGCGTCAGGATAACATCAAATAGGCTTGTGTTTACCAAATTCTGTGGCTCATAAAAAATTCATTTAGATCTTCGACTCAGCCTGGTTAGCGGCTTGCTAAAAACTGAGTCATATTGGGACTTGAGTAGCTCACTCATTTCCTTGCTGTCATGTGTGTAGGACCCATCTTGTTTAAGTAGGGGTCCAATACTGGATGTTGTTCTAGACTTTGATTTGGCATAAGAAAAGAAATACTTCGGGTTTCTTTAGATTTCATTTATGGCTTTTAGTTCTTCCCGCGATTCCTGGCTCCTATTAGATTCCTTTAGCTTTAGTTCGATGTTTGCTATTTCTCTGACCAGTCTCTCCCTACGCATTTCAGATATATTGGCCTCTTTTAGCCACTCTGTTATTCTTTTCCGTCGCCTGTAAAGGGGGCGTCTGTCTCTTTCTATTTTACATCTACTCCTCCTTTTTCCTAAAGGAATAAGCCTTGAGCATACATCGAGTGCCACAGAGTTAATCTGTTCTAGGCATAAGTTGGGGTCTGTGTTGCTTAGTCTATCTTTCCAGCTTATATCATTTAGGACTTGGTTTACTTGGTCCCACTTTATGCTCTTGTTATCGAAGTTGAATTTGGTGAAGGCTCCCTCGTGACTGATCACATTTTGTCGGTCTGGGGCTCCCCACATACATGTCTGAACTTCGATTATGTTGTAATCTGAGTATATTGTTTTGCATATGGTGACATTTCGTATCAGATCATCACTGTTAGTGAAGATGAGGCCCCGTGTATTCTCCAGTCTAGTAGGCTCTATTATTTGCTGGTTTAAGTTGAATTTTGTGCAGAGATTTAAAAGTTCGTCTGTGTGTGAGTTCTCGTCAGAGCTGCCTCCTGGTGTTATCACTGCAACAACATTATTTGCTATATTGCTATATTATTATTATTATTATTATTATTATTATTATTATTATTATTATTATTATTATTATTGTTGTGAACAATCTAAGTATTTATGCATAGCAAAGTGTGTCATCAACCAATATATAAAGATAAGAAATTTTTATATGACTAAAGGTTAATTTCATTTCATTTTGTCAACCTTAGTAAACACGAAATGGAAATGCATCAGGAACAGCAATTTCCCACTGGACATAAGTGCTGACCAGCTCCCGGGACATACATCCACAGGACTGGATGGATGTTATATAATATACCGATAAATATAAAATAAGACGCATGTGCAGTATTAGGATATTGTATTGAGGAAAATTCTCGCCACGAATATCTTCAGTCCTGAAGAATCCAAAAGTGAAGAAACCGGCTGAAGTAACACATATTCTTATTACAATATCCTGATTCAACTCTTGTGTTTCATTTAACGGAGAGTTATGTATCTCTCAGTGTACATATCCTAAGAGTTTATTTTACCTGGAGAGGGTTTCGGGGGTCAACGCCCCCGTGGCCCGGTCTGAGACCAGGCCTCGTGGTGGATCAGGGTCTGATCAACCAGGCTGTTACTATTGGCCGCACGTAAACCGACATACGAACCACAGCCAGGTTGATCAGGTACTAACTTTAGGTGTCTGTCCAGCACCTTCTTGAAGACAGACAGGAGTCTATTGGTAATCCCCCTTATGTATACTGGGAGGGAACTGAACAGTCTTGGGCCCCTAACACTTACTGTGTTCTCTTAGTGTACTCCTGGCGCCTCTGCTTTTCATTGGAGGAGTGTTGCATCTCCTGCCGAGTCTTTTGCTTTCGTAGAGTGATTTTCGTGTGTAGGTTTGGTACTAATCCCTCTAGGATTTTCCAAGTATATATTATCACGTATCTTTCTTGCCTGCGTTCCAGGGAATACAGATCAAGGACTTCAACCGTTCCCAGAAATTTAGGTATTTTATTGTACTTATGTGCGCCGTGAAAGTTCTCTGTACATTCTCCAAGTCAGCAATTTCGCCTGCCTTGAAGGGGGCAGTTAGTGTACAGCACTGTTGTGGTCTTTGAAGGTGAGATCCTCTGACATTATCACTCCCAGGTCCTTCACGTTAGTTTCTCACTCTATTGCGTGGTTAGAAATTGTTTTATACCCTGATAAAGTTTTAATTTCCTCAAGTTTTCCATATCTGAGTAGTTGAAATTTCTCTTCGTTGAACTTCATATTGTTTTCTGCGGCCCATTTAAAGATTTGGTTGATGTCCGCTTGGAGTTTTGAAGTGTCTTCGATGGAAGACAATGTCATGGCAATT